CACTAGAATTTATATTTTTGGAATGGTGTTAAAATACTATTTATTGGCATTACAATTTTAGATTTTACTCTATAACGTCTGCATATAGTTTTGGTAGCCACAGTGCAACTTTGCACATGGGTACTTTGGAGGAGGAATAGTGGCACATAATAAATTCTGACCACGTTTGGGGGTATCTGGGGTTATATGCCAGTTTTTGGGGTGGTGTCCTCACTCTGCCACACCATATATGTTTATTATTTAAACAAAAGGAATCCTTCCTTGCGAGCAAAGCTTCCTAAAAGAAAATTGAAGTATCAACTCATGTGACTCAAAAGCATGCATAGAATACCAACTTTGCACTTGTGTGTATCTATGCTCCGCTAGTGCTGCTATAATGTGTAAAACTAAAATCAGGCACTTGATGGCTGAGTTCAAGCTGTTACCACTTCGTACCTAAGAATATTATTAGATTACTTGACATGCAATACAGTCTACAAACAATGGAATACCACTGCAAATCTGTGACAAGGGGTAAAGTGGAAACTATACCAATGCTTGAATTCAACAAAACATTATTCTGTGTGTGCTTAACATAACAATATATGGAAGAACATGTAAACTAAAATCAGGCATATATATATATATATATAAGCTTTCACAGAAAGCATGATTAGTGCTCTCCAGAAATGTGATGAAGTGTTCGTGTGTCGTCATATTATAAAAGCCATTTGGATTCTTCTTTACATTTATAGTTTGTTAATTTGTGATGGTGTAGAGTTGGTCTGAATCTGTCTTCATTTTGTAACGGAAGAATGAAAATTAACAGTAGTACATATGTTTGTGGTGAAAATGAACCCCATTGAAGCCAATCCTTTACTGGTGTAATCTAGGATACCTAATGCATTCAGACAGTGAAAAACTGCTTTTGTTTCCAGCTGTCCTGGAAAAAATACAAACAGTCTGAATGGATTGACAATATTCTAATTAATTATTGTAATACGTTTGTTTTTTCAGTAATTTTCCCCACCCACAAAGAGTTCAGTCATTATGAGCAGAGAAGTAATAATAAATCATACAATAGGTTGTAGCTTTTTAGCATTTTTTTTTACCTTCAGTATATTTTTTAAATGTTATTTTCGCCCTGTAAATGTGCATAACTATTTTCTTTATCATGAGTTGTGAAATGGTATAATTGAGGTGTATCCATCCTTAGCAAATCCGATGCATAAAAATATGCATCAAGATGCATTAGTTCATGCTGGGGTAAATAGGTACAACTAATTATTTAGTCACTTGGAGACATTTTCCTAACTTGAAAGGTGCTATATAAATGTAAATTGTATTGCATTGTTTAGTCACCTAGCTCGCCTAGTTATCCCAAATGTTCACCCAACTGAAGACCAGAGTGTAAATTGTCAAAATGGAAATAGTTTAATCCAGAAGGGATGTCAACCCGAGAGTTTAAAATGAATCATTCTGTATGCTACTGCATCCATCCATACTCAGTTTTCTTTTACCCCAACCAACATCAGTGCAAGTTGCATTATGCTGATAAAATACTAAAAATGTCTGGAAACTGCTGAATATACTTGTGGGTCTGAATATTGGTAATAAATGATGTAATTGGTTGGAGATTTTGAAACATTGCTTTAAAGCTGGCTATCTTTGGCAATTCCACAGACCAACCTTTTTAAGGAGGCAGAATTGCTGTAGGTTCTTGACATTTTGACCGAGAAAATGCTGCAAATGCCACTGAAATACAAATGTTGAAACAAGCTTGAAAAGAGTCGAGAACCAGGAACACTAACAGTACGATCTTTTTGCTGCATTATTACTCCACATGTGCTAGCAGAATGCATGATATATAGGAAATCACAACTTGAATAGGTAAAACTCACTTAAATAACACATACTGGAGCACTGTACCTAGACAACATTATGGCATAAAACAGATGTAAATATCTAGATGTGTTTAAATATTAGTTAGGGAGTTAGATTTGTAGAATGGTATAAATTGGTGTGTTAGTAGGAGGGTTTGGAAGTATAAAATGTGCTGACAGCCACAAAAACTTGTCTTTTTTTGACATTTCTGGTAACAAAATTTGTTTTCTCATCAATAAATCACACAAGCATTTGCAATATGCTCAGATAAATTGTACATGTACTTGCTTTTGATGCTTGGCAGATAAAGGTGTTAGGAGAAGCATGCCAAGCTTTTAATTGAAGTTCAAGAACCGGGAGCTTCTTTGAAATTTATAGCAGTTGTTAAAACATTTTCGGGCCCCTCATTTATGTAAAATGAATCAGGAGCAAATGAAACCAAAACACAAAAATACAGCAGAGTGTTGCGAAGCATTTTAGATAGAATTGAAAATCCATTCCCAGTTTAAACACCCAAATTCACAATCAAATAAATGACAATCTATAATATACAAAATAGAACTGCTCAGTGTCAAACTAGTATTTACAGAAGTATTTTACAATATCTACAATTCCAATTTGCTTCATAGCTGCTATTGGAAGTAATGACAAAAAAAGTGATCAATGCAACGCATTACAACACAAATAGCCACAAGGTGTGAAAAAGGAAGCTGTAATACAGGTGTGAAAAACGATTGCACTGTAAAAGCGAAGGTGTAAATTTCCCGGAGTTACTGGCAGATTTCAAGAACACAGAAGTGTTGCAGTTGGAAACGTTAGTAATTACATTTAAAAGAGAAGTGCCCCAAACATGTACACCCATGTGTACATATTGTACAACCAACAACAAAAGCACATTCATGTAACCAGATCCATTTTTGTATAAAAACAATTAAAACATTTAGGCTTTCAATATATTTTGGAGTTTTGCCAACAGGGTGCAAGGTGATAGAAGCATTTGTTCCTACTCTACTGTTTCCTTTTTACGACCTTTCCTTTTCCTTTTTCGCGTTTCATTTTAAATAAGGATTGGCAATATGGTCTTTCACCAAGAGAAGGATTTAACTTTCTACTGGAACCCAGGCAAGATATATCCCTGAATACATTACTTGATCCTGAAGCATTATACCCATTGGCTCAAACACTTTTCATTGGGTATTTACCCATCAAAGATCCTGCACCACTTGCTCCTTAGCTCTACTTTACAAGCCTCTCTCCCAATCTTGTCAATGACACCTCAACTCTGTTTTCCTTGTAAACATAGTGTTTCTGACTGTTACAGTTGTAAATTAGTTTAGCATTTGGACGGCCCAAATACTTCACAGGACATACTGTAAAGTGGAGTGGCGATGTGTGTTTTGTGGGCGAACGTAGCAGCCAATTTGCACACAGTAATGTCCCACAGACAGTCAAGATGTGAATGACCAAAACTGAAACCAAAGGGCCCATTTTCTTCCACCACAAAATTATTTTAGGTAGCTACCAAAACAGAAGTTTACGATCCTATCGACTTAGGGATATGAGGTGAATGATATTGTAGGTCGAAGCTCAACACAAAATATACCAGGCAGACAATAATGTAAAAGAGCCCTCATAAGGCAAGAGAGAACAAAACACTTGAATTAGAGAGACAAGCGTGAGATGCTCCTTGCAAGCACCCTGAGACAATTGCAACCAATACATCAATTAGGCAAACAGATGGCAGATGACTCTGACCTCCCTGATCAGTAGGCAATTTCCAGATCATTCCACCTCACTCTACATCACTAAATCTCAAGCCACTCAACAGAAGACGAACATAATTTAGATCCCTTTCCCTCGCCCAAGCGAATGCGGTCACTGAATTTCCCAATTTTCAGGCAATAAGATCCATCAGGCAGCAAAACATCTCTGAACTTGGAATATCCCTGGGATTTGACAGCTTCCTTCTGAACTTTGGGTTTTCTGTTTAGAAAACTGAAATCCCTTAAATGTTTTTTTAACTAAAACTCCTCCACTGTGCAGTAGGGATGGCCATTCACCTCAATTCCTTCAAGGCAACAGTGATTAAGCTAATACACAAACAGGGTAGGTTTGTGTCCAACATGTCCATGTCCAACAAGTCCATTTTCCTGCAATTACAAATTTCTAGCCAAGATCTTGACTCCCAAACTGGGCACCATTTCCCTGATTAAGACCATGCAAATCAACTTAATCTATGTATTTGATGTGGCAGCTTCCACATCTGAAGATGTCACAAAGTGCTTCACAGGAAATATTGTAAAAAAGTGTAGTGACTGTGAAACCTTCAGTTTGTATGGCTCAGCTGCATGCTGTAAAGATTGCTGAATTATGCTATTTTATGGTGGACGAACCAATCTTTTTACTCGAAAAGCACAATTTTTTCTTCTGGAAAATATAACTAAATAATTTAATAGCTCAGTGGGCTTTATTGTACTGGATCCCTAAAAATATTTGCCATTTTTTGCCAGCTGTTTCTCGCAGAAATATTTTCCAACAGAAAATATTAGGCTGTGTATTTACAGTACTTCAAGTTGACAGCATTGTTGAGTGATATTGCAGGATAGCTGCTGGCAATCACGAATCTGTCTGCTGCAAAATGAGAACAATTCACTACAGTATTCAATCTGTCAAAAAACAAAGAAAAAATTTAATCAAAACCTTCAGACATGCAGTAATGGTTGTACTATACAGACAGAGCAATGTAAAGAGCTATTTCCCATCAAAACACACAAGCGTCAAATTAAAAAGGAGCCCGTCAGAAATTGGGACTGCGTTTTAGTCATTTGTCCCTCTCACAAGATACTGGAAAAGAATGGCAATGTTAGTTCCCTTTTCAAAGTAGGGCTTGTTCTGATCACTATTGCCTGTTTTCTTACAGGTTAACTCTTGAACTTGACAATAAGGTTCTAAAAACATCTACAAACAAAAAAACAGTTTATAGTATCCATAACTAACCCTTATATAGTCAGTTGCACATCTTCCCATATTCTGGAAAATATGGCTGCTTTATTATCCTTTATCCATTAAAAGCATTATATATCATTTTCAACAACAATTTTGCTTTACATCAACACACAGTGTTGCAAGAATCACTTCTACGGCCAGTTGAATGTCCTTCCAGTGATCTGATAGAACTTCTGATTGAAAGGATGAAAAAACTTGTGCAGTTTGTTGATGACGGAGGGATCCACTTCAGGATGTATCCGTCCCTTGCTGCCGGCCAGACACTTGTTAAACACAATGTTAAACCGCAGACAGTAGAACCCCCTTGTAGCATTAAAGTACAAGTTATACTGACTTATTCGTGGAGGAAGATTCAGGAACTTCTCCACCAACTGAAGTTCAGGTAAAGGCTCTGTTATGAGACGATCACCATCTACAATGTGAAATTGTTCGATGGGAAAGAACTTCAACCATCTCTCCAGGTGCTTTGTGTATATACTAGTTCTCACAGCCTTGTATTTAGTGTTTACCTCACAGGTGGTGGGATCAATTGCTAACTTCTCAAACTTGTAGTATGTTTTATTCTTCCTTTCCTTCCCCTCCAACACCTGAGTGTAGTCGGAAATAGCTCGAGTGGTCGGCTCTCGCACAATGATCAACAGTTTGATGGAGGAGTTCATTTTGTAAATTCTTTCGGGGACTTCCTCTGTGATGAAATATGCTGGGCTTTTCTCGATGGTGATTTGGTACGGGTAAGAGAAGGGCATCTTTTTTCTGTACCACTCCATTCCCTTGGCATAGTTCTCATCGTTATCAAAGAAATGGATTTCCTGGGAGGCTTTGACTACGGCTGGGTGTAAGTTCAGCATTTCCAGCAGGGCCCGCGTACCACCTTTCCTCACACCTATAATAATGGCCTGAGGAAGCTGCTGCACCATGTTGTGTAGTCTGATTTGTTCTTTTGTTACATTACCTCTTCGTAAATCATGCGACAAGCCTCGCTTGGACTGTAAAGCACGAAGCATGATTTGATCTTGGTCGTGGTTCCCGAATTGACCTTCTATGGGACATGCGGGCTGGAGTCTGCAATAAAATAAGCACAGTCAGGATGTATCAGAACCAAAATGTTACCCTATATTTTTCTTCCAGATACTTATGAAAGGCGCTATACAAATGTAATCTTGTTGTTGTTTACATGCAATGCATTTTTGATCGCAGCCAAGAAATTCTTAGGTGGCAAAATACAACTGTCTATTGTATTTACTACATTGTATTCGCTATAGTTTAACCTCAATGATAACTACAAAGGAGGAGTAATTGCAACAATGTTGTATTTGTTACAGTGCCTATAATATTAAAATATCTCAAAATGCTGTAGTGTGGTGACTGTATCTATAGAAATGTAGCAAATTTGGTTACATCAGGGTTCCACAAACAGCCAGGAGATGAATGATCAATTTATTTGGAGGTTTGTTGACTAGGACACCAGGAGTAACTCCCTGCTGTATTATAACCATGGGTTCTTTTAACATCCGTCCGAACAGGGACCTCAATTTCATATCTCAACCCAATCACGGCATCTCTGACAATTCAGCTATCCTTCAACACAGCACTGAAGTATCAGCCTAGACTGTTGGTATATGTGAAAATATTAGTTGGACTTCATTCTTTATAATCTTTTATTAATACTTTTATTTACACTGACAGTTATCCACTGTTCAACTAAACTAACTGTGTTTCTGTACATGGGTACACTGGACCCGCTGTGGAGTCCTGTAGCTCAGCAAGAGATCTGAGTTCAATTTCCAGCAGGGCGAAATGTTGGGCAACATTTCTCCGCACGCCTCTGTTTACCTAGCAGTAAGTAGGAACCCGGTTGTTAGTCGATTGCAGATCGCTTTTCTGGGGATAATAATCCTTCAAAAAGACAATAATAATTTGGTCACTCAATCCACGACTGTTTGTGGGACACTGCTGTGCGCAATTCGCTGCTGTGTTTCTCCTACAAATATACAGTCAATTCACTTTACAGTATATTCTGTGAAGTACTTTGAGACATCTAGAAGACGTGAAAAGCGCTATATCAAATGCAAGGATTACACTATATGATTCACATTATCTGCAATTTTGACTAAGCAATAAAATAATTATTGTTGACTCACTTTTTGGGCTAGCTTTTCTATGAGGTTTGTGCTGCTACAACTTATAGTGCAAATAAAATCCAAATTGTATAGACAAGCTAGACTCCAATACCTCACACGAAAAGCCCTCAACAAGAATCCATGGGCTCAATCTCAGAGGGTGAATAGATAGGATAGGTTTAAACCATTTTATCCAGAGTGTTGTTATTACATGGAACAGTCTAACCTAGGTAGTAAATTGCATGGAAAGTTTCAAGAAGGAATTGAATATACAGTATATTTTTAAGGGGCATGGGGGACATGTGAGACAGGGAAAGATTTGAAACCTAAACTAGCAAGATGGACTGCAAGGTCTTTTTTNCTGGACTGTACATTCTTATTTTCTTTGTAACAAAGCACTGTTGTTTAACAATACTGACTCCTCATAATGTATGAGTATAACACAAAGAAATAATCTCTCCCTAAATGAAGTTCAGTATGACTTTGGTCCTTACTTAAAATGTACAGTTGTACTCCGGGAAAAAAGATTAGCATGGCAGATGATAAAGAATGTATTTTCCCCCTTCATAAATTAGAAGCAATCCAGCAGATAGAGTGTTTAAAACATTTGCTTCACAGGTTGTGGTGGCTGAAGTGATAATTAACACATCAGTCTACCAATTAAATGTGACACATTTCATTGTATTTCAGCCAAACTGCTGGCACCTTGAGGAAAGAGATGTCCTTCTTTTCCCACGATCAGCATGTCCTTTTATAAGCTTAGTGAGGTTGTGCTACAAGAATCATAAATTGTAGTGGAGACTGCAGCCTATTCACCAACTTTGCTACCTGAGAGAAGAATGTGTTAAATTTAACAGCTCTGATGGCAGAGATAAAACAGGGACAATTTAGAGACAGGCCAACATCTATTACAGTAATATTAAATAATTTATGTTCAATTTCTCTTGAAGCTATTTAGCATACAGACCTCATTTATATGTTCCAGCATATTAATTTTTATTTCTCACAAATAGGTCTGCTCTGAATATCACTCAAAATGGATTAACTCAGCATATAAATGGAAACATTTTTGTCCCTATTTGTCGGTGCTTTCTGTGCAAATTTAACCTTTGATTTTCTTCATTACACAGGTATGTACAGACACAGGAAAGGATACTGAAACCCATCTGCTCGATCCCAATGTAAACAAAAATCATATAATCTTCTAGCTTTCATATCCCTCAATTAATGTCTGCATCAAATTACTTTGTTATTCTCTTTTTGAATTTCTGACCCAATCTTCCTCCACCATCAACATGGGAAATTAATTCTAGTAATTAATGTAACTGGCTTCCCTCTTTAGAATTTGAGTCCATCTCCTCTTATTGTAAACAAGGAACCGTATATTTCTCTTGTATATTCTGAAAAATGACTTTCACCGCAACCGAATTATTGGGTCGATGGAGGGGGTGATAGTATTTGAAATCACATCACCAAATTCATTTCTTAGTTACTATCTTCCAATTCTTGCATATGCTGGGAACAGCAAAATAATAGATCAGGAGAAATGAGATGCCAAGGTCTTTGACAAAGAACTAGTACAAAATATTGTCTGAGGTGAACAATGGCATTATGTCAAGGACCATCACGATTTTATCTGTGCATGCGTCAAAATGATTAATTATTCAATAGAACGAGCTAGGATTTCTATAGCTTTGGTAGCAACTGGTATTTTGTTTTGCACGAGATAATCCCTCCAATTGGGGGTTGCAGCGATCAAGGGCATGTGCCTTGAGATAGGTCAGGATTTACTAAAAGCAACGTGAGCTGGGACAAGAGCCAGCAAACGATCAAAGATTGAAAACATGTGCAGGAAGATTCTTAAAAGTGGCTGGATGAAGAATGACCTCTCTTCCCAAGTTTGTAATTATGCATAAAATACTATGTTGGCTTGTGAACAACTGAAATTGCTCAATTAAACAAATCAATTCAACAAGGAAAGCATTTGGGATGAATATTCAGTTTGGAAAAAAATCAATCTTATTGTGCAGCAGTTATCCAGTTAGTTTCACTCGTGGAGTTACTTATCATTACTCATTGTGGATCATTAGATATATTCTCCATAGTTTTACCTGGTCCAGCAGTAAATCTAATACTGCCTACCCCAGGGAACATTGCATAGCAAGTATCGAAACTCTATACAAGTTGGAGAAATGGCTAGACTATAAGTAAATAACTAGGAAACTGTGCACTGTGACTGCCATCATTCTACTGACAATAAATGGATACCTATAAATTACTGGCCATTAGAACTGAAACCAAAATGGGCAGAATTATGATAATTTGGGTATGTCAATTTGATTCCTTTAGTAGCACTCTTGCCTCCGGGTCAGAAGATTGTGGGTTTAAACCTCAAATCTGGCCTTGATCTTATAATCTAGGGTTGAAACTGCACTGCTGTCCTCAGGGAGAGCTGAATTGTCAGAAGTGTCATCTTTCAGATGAATGATTATTTAGTGGTCCCATCTGTCTGTTCTCCAGATGGACGTTATCTTCAAAATGGTTTCTCTCAGCAGTCAACTCCGCAATTACACCACCCTCTATTCCTTCTAAGTTCTCTTTTAGATCTGTTAGTGGCTATCATATATGTATGCCCTCTTGTTACGGACTCGCCATTACTGGAAATAGTCTATTTATGTTTATCTTCTCAAACCCTTTAAGAATTTTAAACATTTCTATCGTCTCACCTTCAGTTACCTCATGGCTGTTTGTAATATTGGCTGCTGTATTTGCCTACATAAGCTGGCATTACACTGGACTGGCTAGGCTTAACTACACCAACACTCAACTCGCTGGACACCCCATCTGTTTCTTACCCAGGCTGTAGACTATCCAGAACTCTGAAGCCTGTGTTCTCCCCCTTACCTAACCCCCTCTCTTCACTCAGTTCCACTGGCACCCCATCCCTTAGGGATAGAGTTGAAGATCCTCGTTCTCACATTCAAGTCCTCTCTATGATCTTGTCCCCACCTTACCTATTGGTGGGTGGATTTTCAGCTATTCTGCCCTACTCTCTGGAACTCCATCCTGACTCACCACCCACCCAACCCCCACTGCCCCTTGTTCAAGGTGCATCTTGAGATGAATCTCTTTGACTGCGCTTTCAGTCATCTGTCCCCTCACCACTCCCTAGGGTCCCATCTCCAGCCGTCAGTGTCAAGTGTTTTGAAACGTCCTCCCAATGTGAAAGTTGCTATATGAACATAAATGTTATTGGATTGCAATTACTTGTGATGCATTTTGAGATGAAATATGTTCTTCTAATTCTCATTTTAGTTACAATATTATTAGTAGATAATTAACTGCAAATGAGTGCACCAATAGAATTTACCATGGATTGCAGTTAGCTCCTGAATCTACCCACAGCTACTCCAGCTGAGATCCTGTAACTCAGCACAGAGAAGCGAATGGCTTCATGTAGACTCTGAACATAACATCCTTAATTAAAAATGGTAAAAAAACTTCCATTTGAGACTAGATTTACTGTAACATTTTAGTATGTTCAGAACTTTGCAAATTGTTGAATTTAGTCTTAAATCTCAACTTGTTTTTTTGTAGTTCTTAAAGGAACTTATAGAAAAACAGCTTCAATATTGTGGTTGTATTTAAGAAAATGCTAATTTGCTCGAAAATGCAACATAAATAGAGCTTTAGGCACTAAAGTTCAGCAAGAGATGAATGTTAACCTCTGGACATGGCATGCTCAGTGCTAATATCATACTTTCTGAATCATGTCACCAAACCAAGACTGGTTCAATCTCAGATTTTCACAGAAGCAGTGAAACAAAATGGGAATACCCACCTCTGTTCAGGGAAAGGGAAAATAACAGACTTGCTATGTTGCATAAATAAAAATGAAAGAAATTAGCTTAAATCATATTAACATGATGTAAGTTTATGACACGCAACTGGCATGACTGCATTAAATTTTCATATAAATTATTGAACACATCTGCCTTACAGAACAATTACAGAAATGGATTTCATATAAGATTTACTGACTCCAATCATAAATTACAATGTTCTATTTATCGTGAGTCAATGAAGTAGATCAATTTCCTTCTCAATATCTAACTGTCCTCTTTTGCTGCTATTGATTTACTATTCTTGCATTTTTTTCTTTTCTTCCGTCAGCTGTGACTTATTTATATATAGGAAGCTTCAAAGTGCTGTTCTCCAAATCAATTTTCTTTTAAGAATCCTCTGGACAAACATTATCTGATCCAACCAAAGTCAAGCTGCTCTATATCACTGTGCAAAACAACTCAGTTTGAGTTTCAATTGATAAGATCCTTCCAAACAGCATTAGGTCAATTGAGGCTTAGAGTTTAAGAAAAATGTTGCCTTGTGCGAAAAATTATTGTTGTGAAGAAGTGCAGCCTGCTGATAGATATACAAAAAAATTGATTTACATAATATTCTACACTCCCTCAATCCAACAAAGGAAAAATAAAACAGAACAAAATTGGGGTAGGACATCTTAATTCTTGCTGATCACACCTGAGATGTTGGATGTCAGACAGGATTAGCCAGTTTGAGTTGTGAACTCAGGTTGTGTGTAAAAACTATCATTTGAGATTAAGCCTTGTGTCACTGTGGGAATGGGGTTGGTGGGTGTAAAACTTATTCATTGAGCCATTAACACCACAGCTTTAAAGATGGAATCCCCCTCTAGCCCAATCTAAAATGGCAGAACAGGCAAAATTATGCTAGCCTGTTGTGCCATTTTAGATTGGGGTAGAGGGGGAATCTATCTTTAAAGTTGTAGAGTCAATGGCCCAACTGTTTTTTCTTCACTTATATAAATGATCTGCATTCAACACCAACAACTTGCATATTATGATGCCCTTCAAGTGGGTAGCATTTCAAGTGCTTAACAGCAGTACGGTTTGAAGGTGATCAATAAATCCAGATCAATAATTTTGGATGCAACAAGAATGTAGAACAAAATGACATAGGTTTAGATTTGTAAAGAGAAATTTCAGGACAGATACCAGTTAGTTTTCTTGACAGAGGGTAACCAACTACTAGAACCAGCTATTAGGAATGGTAGGAGAGGCCAGGATACTAGACTCATTTAAAAAGCAGCTTGATGCAATGAAACAATGTGGTGGGTGTTCTAGGGGGCCATGATTGGATGGGTCAAGGGGCATTTCCAGACCAGTCGTGTGAACTTGTGACGATCATGAGCTGGGAGGAATTTTAGATGTCACGAATGAGATTTATGATAGATGGAAACACATTTTTTAACCATTGAATGCAGTTAAAACAACTAACCTATCCAAGCTCCCAACTCTGGCAACTATGTATAAGAGACTTCCAACAGCAAGACTGCCCAGCACAAAGAGCTTCTGTCTCAGCACCGCCTGCTGTTTGAATAGCATGGCCCTCCATCAATCTTCAGGACTGCTTCTTCAGCCTGCAGTGATCAGAGAGAAAAAGCACCAATGAGAAACACGGAATCCTATGGAATAACATTAATTAACAGTCAGTTGATCAATCATTTGTTGTTTTAAAGGTTAAGCAAGCCTCCTCTTAAAGAAAGCAAAGCCATTAGATAAATAGATCAATATTGTTTCTCCTGTAATGAAGAACAATAATTCAGTGTAAAGGTTTCAGGAGGTGTCCATTAGTTGTTCAGGCTTTTACACCTTAACAAGAAGGCGCACTGCCAATTTACAAGACTTGGAGTAATTTCTTCCAATTAACCCTTACCAATCATGATGTGTGTTGTCCGAATACTATGAAGATAAATGGGGTTTATCTTGGATCTTTGACATGAGAAAGTTTAGTCTTTAGACTTGAAGGGGGTTGACATTGAACAGGTGAGTTTCTTCAGATTCATAACGTTTATGAAACAGCCTTTAAACTTTTCTAGATTCTGGCTTATTTTCTGATGTGTTCCAGCAGTGGACAGAGAATTACCTTTTCTAGGATATTTTGTTTTACTGAAAACTTAAATTTGACAATACGGTAATTATATTTTCATTTCGACCACAATGCTCAAGACAATCTCCTACATGAAGGATGCATTTAAATGCAAGATATGGTAATTTAGCTTTTTAATTTACAGTGAGAACATAGGAAGATGAGTTGTGGATCTGTAAAATAACAACAGACTTGCTGGATCTAATGGTCTTTTCCTATAAAATCCTTTGTTCTGAGCCCAGCTGCTTGTGGGTGCAGAGCAGTGATCTCAGGGTGAATCTTTTTACACAATGCCACATGCTGGGCTATTTCCCAACATCAGTACAGCAGCAATTTGGAGTTCACTCTAATGGGGAGTCCCACAAACACACAATCACAACACATTAGGAATCTATCGCATTGTATTTCTGCATCCACCTGAATTTTAAAAATCTATCCACTTTACAGTTTATGCAACATACTGTATTATAAAAGCAGCTGAAATGAAAGGAATATTTTGTTAGTTCCCAGTAATTCTGTGACCAAAGAAACAAAAGGTAATAGTCTATACTGACCTCAAAAAATTTCTTTGGATTGATTTCCCAAGTTTAAAATCTACCTGCATTGAAATAATCAGCTCTAACCTTTACAAAGGCAGTGGAGGCAGTGCTGACAGCAATCCACCACTCTGATGGAACGTCTATGAAGATATATTGCATGCAAGAGAATTAGCAAAGTCTTCGGCTGTGCTGGGTTACAGAAACCTAAATCAAATACAGTGAACATAATCCCCATCTTAATCTAACAAATGAAAGTCAATTGAATTATAACGTTAACCTTTCCCTGGTACAAAACTTCATTTAGGTTTGAAGAAAATCCACTCAGAACTGCATTACCATACATTTCTAGGCAGTACAGTGGCACAGAGTGTTGATGCACTGCACTTAGGGGATACAGTGCCAGTATGGCATGATATGGTGAAATGCTTCCTCAGGAGGAAAAGAAAATTAGAAATTAGAAACTCCAAGCCATTCTTATGCATTTCTTCACAACTAGCTATAAAACAGCCAGCGAAGCTGGAATCTTGTATCGCCTGGGAAAAGTATGGGAAACAGAGAAGACCAAACCTGGGAAAAGTATGGGAAACATTTTTATTTTTCATTTTATAGATCACAAACCTGAAATTTTGCTTAGTTTTAATCCACTGGGACATTTTTGCCTTAAAATGTATGATTGCTCAAAATTGTGAATAAAATTCTTAAATTGAAAGCCAGTTCTCTTTAACGATTGTGAAAAAATAGATTCCAAATTAAGACTAAATTTATGATTTATTCACAATGTTCCATGATCTCAGATTGTAAGACAAAATTATCTTACAGAATATAGGCCAAGTGGCGATTCGGGCCTTGGGACATGTCTGTTTGAGGCCTAGCTTCATTTCTTTGTTCATAGAAAACAATCGTAATCATGAAATTAAAGTCATGAAATAATAAAATTCTTTTCTTTAAATTGAAATTAAATAAATGCAGCAAAATAAATATTTTGATAAAATGCATAAAAAAAGAAGGAAGCAACATTCAAGATATTAATCAATAGCCTGAACCCAATGATAAACAGAACTGTGAATGCTGGGAATTTGAAATAAAAGCAGCAGGTTTTTATTTGGAATGTATTTGGAAGAGAAAGCCAATGTAACATCCCAGTAACATTCATCATTCAAACATAGCCCGAGCTTTCTCTTTCAGATGTTGAATGCCCTGCAATACATAAAGACCCGAAGTGTGAGTTTTAAATGTTACCACAGCAGACCCATTATAAGCCAAATGTGTGCTTGTGATATGCCGAGTTTGCAGAAATAAATACAGAATCTATTTTCAGCACCTTTGCAAGTGTTTTGTGTTCTGTATATTGAGTTAGGCGAATGGCATGGTAATAATTAATTTGCTGTGGGAGGCTAATTTGCATAAATTTGTTATTGCTGTGTCTAGCTGACTGTAAGAGTAGTATATTTTTTATTTGAATTTGTTTTTGGGAATGAATTTTATGCTAATCAAGGTGAGGGATGATAACACTGGAAAAAAGGAATATATTCCTGTTCAGCCACCTAATCTCGGCTGCTACAATAATAATGGTGGACAAATTCCACTTGTGTCTAGTTTTACTGTTTTTTTAGCCTTTCAGAATGAAGTTCTTTTTGAGAATTACAGAAAACAGCTTCAAAGTTGAAAATGAATTTTATCAAACAATTTGTCAAATTCTAGATTGTCTGAAATGCTAAGAAAATAGAATCAATCTAGACCCAGGTGAAATTTCTCTCCTAATGTGCCTTAACTTTAATCTCAAAAGATCACCACTACTGCAGTATTGGGAATCTATCTATTTCTCACACCAGCAATCCTCAAGGCGTCTTAATACTTTGGAAGTGGTGCCAATAAATAGAATAACCTTTAAAAGAGACCACATAAAATGTAACTAATCTTAGCAAGTTATTTACTGCTGTATCACTAACACATTGTGAGCTTTGAATGAGAAACTCTACACTTAAGCAACTTAGAATTCTTTGATATACACACAGAACAAGAAAGGTCAACACCACAGGAATGCAGTACCATGAATAAAAAATATTTACCCAAATTTCCACAGCTGATTTTAAATTATAGTAATATTTGCATTTCATATAGTATCTCAAAGCACTTTGCACTGGGATAAATAATGCAGTTTTGGCTAAAGGCAGACAACACATTATTTACTTAAATAAGTTGTGTTGGAAGTGCTGTAACTTGATAAAGTGGGCAAACAAAAACAACTTACATTTATACAGTACCCTTCATAAAGAATAACGTCTCAGAGCACTTAAACACAGCAGGCAATTTGCTCCAGCAACCTTCCGCAAAATAACAAGGAATAATCGCTAAGACAAAGTAATCTTAGTCTTGGTGTCTTCTATAAGATTTGGATAGAAGATGAATATTTGCCTTGACTCTAGTATTGGATTGAAGTCCTGTAGCGTATTGGTTTGAGCGCTCGCCTCGCAAGCGGGAAAACCTGGATTTCATTCCCAGGCAGCGCAAATCGTTGGGCAAGTTTCCTTACTCCACATGCCTCTGCTTTCCTAACAGTAAGTAGGAAGCCGATTGTTGGTCAATTGGCAGATCGCTTTCCAGAGGTAATGAACCCTCAAAAAAAAATTGGTCAATCAATCCAGGACTGCTTGTGGCACACTGTTGTGCACAATTGGCTACGCATTTCCCCCACAAAAATATACAGCCAGTTCACTTTACAGTATATTCTGGGAAGCATTCTGAGATGCCTCGAAGATGTAATAAGGCACTATATCAAATACAAGAATTATTATTATTATTGACATGGGATCCTGACTGTCCACCTGAATAGGTGGATGGGACTTCATATGGAGGATGACACCTCCAATGACAAAGCACTCCATTGTATTGTAAGTGCGGATCAAACTACATCCCTTTGTCCTAGAGGCAAGCATGCTACCAATTGAGTCAGATTAGCACTGACAATTGAAAGGAAATACCATATGCATTTCCTGTTAATCTGTGGTGCATATTCACTCCAATACTAATATATTTATATAGCACCTTTAATACAGGGAGGACATCCCAAAGGGCTTAACAGCGCAAACACAATCACAAATCTTCCATGCTATGTTGTTTCAGATTCATGAAATACAGTAGTTTCATCAATATGATCTTTACTTGGTGCTTTGGGACGTCCTTCCATCGTAAAAGGCGCTATACAAATGTAATTTTGTATTGCATTACATTTACTTGCTGTTTTGAATCATCCAGAATTGCCTGGCCTGCCTTTGGTGAGAACAAAGAAACTATTAAATTAATGCCATCATTATTATCCTAAACAGTGATTGGCACAGTGACTGTTTAGGTAAGTACTGTTCTCCGGCAGAGACTTAATTCTTCCAGTTTGTGGCACACTGCATTAATTATCTGCACTATTGGATTGCTTCTATGTTTTTAAATAAAATCCACCAAACTGCTGCAAAAAAAGCCCTAGTTAACTCCAAAAACAAATTTCCTAAAAGAATGGAAAGTGCTTGTGATTTCTTACAGGGGGACATTTTAAAATAAAACGGTTATAATTGAGTTTTAATACAATTGTTTAGATCTCTAGCAGTAAGTAGGAACCTGGGTTCTTAGTCGATTGGCAGATTGCTTTTCCGGGGGTAATAATCCATTAAAAAAAAATAATTTCAATGCCTTGGGACATCCTCCCGACGTGAAAGGTGCTAAACAAATGTAATCTTGTTGTTGTTGTAAAAATAAATTGGTCACTCAATCCACAACTGTTTGAGGGACACTGCTGTGATCAATTGGCTGCTACATTTCACCCACAAAACATAGTCATTTTATGGAATGTTTACAATTCATTTTATAGTATATTTGTGAAGTGCTTTGAGACGTCGCGAAGATGTGATAATGCTCCATCAAATGCA